AGGCCGGGCCAGGCTGTCGAGGGGCAGGGGTCGAGGGTGAGATCCAGCGGGCACCGCGTTGAGACGCGAAGGGGCGCGGCACGCCGGGATGCGGCGCAGTGGGGCGCGGTGGGGCGCGGCGGGGCGCGGCGGGGCGCGGCGGGGCGGGGCGCGGCCGGAGGCGCAGCGCGGCGAGGGCACACTAAGACACCCCGACAGCCCTTGAGACGCCAAGCAGTCTGCCGGCACGGTGTCTCTCCAGTAGAGAGCGCTCACACAGAGGAAAGGGGACGCACCCAACGACCGAGAAGAAACGTGTGTCTGCCTTTCCGCCTGTCTCTACTTTGCCCGTTTTCCTTTCTTCCTACCCGCAAACGAACACACAAACAAAAACCCGCAGCCACACACACAAAGGTTTAAATAATCGAGTATTTACTTAGCCGTGTCACTCCAATTTTGGGGAAAGACAACGCAAAGTGAGGGCGACGTTACGGAACTCGTACATTAGCAAGTCGACAGTCCGGGACGCCGGCGTCGTGTTTGAAAGACAGTTTGCTTTGAGTTGGCGAGGCCTGGCTAGGCTTGGCGAGGCCTGGCGAGGCCTGGCGAAACCCGGCCTCGAGGCCCACCACCACCACCCGCCCCTTGCCTCCCGGGCGTGCCAACCCCTTGAGCTCACGAGGGCGGGCGGCCGTCGCAGGACTGCCACCCCTGCTCTGCCTCCCTGCTCCGCGCCGCGCCCCCACCAGGACAGCCAGCCTTTACTACCCACGGATGCGTGTGCATAACATGCCACCACGGGTAGGCGAGGTAAAGGCTCGCCCAGGTAGCTGAGATGCGGACTAGCGACCTCACGGAGCCAACCCATCGCCTGAAAGGCGTAACCTGGTGGTGAGCCCCCCGGCGGCGAAGCCCTCCTGGTGGGACGCCGCATGGTGAACCATTTCGGTGAGCCGCCCCCGGTGAGGCCAGCCGCCGGGGAACGACGCGACTCAAATGCCAGCACTCTACACTGGAGAAAAATCGATATGTAGGCAAACCGGCGAACTACCAGCGCAGCGTGGTAGGTGGGGGTGGTGGGGTAGAGCGGTGGGCGGCGGCGCGGTAGGGTGGGCGGTCGCCAAGACACGGTGGGGTCCAAGAGGGGCGGAAGGGAGCTGGGTGGGGTTGGGAAGGGGGGGGGGGAGCACAGGCCGCTCGCACGCCGTGCGTGAAGGCTCACGCGCAGATAAGGTGCTATCTACTCCCCCCTCCACCGAGCGGGCCGGGCGCCGGGGCCCCCCTTCAGGAGCAAAGGCTTCATTAGAGCAAATTGCAATCAACATTTCCAGTATTTAAGGTGTGGCGGGCGCTCGGCGGCGCTGAAAGAAGGCCGCAGCAGGAGGTTGGGGGCAGGGAGCCAGGGCTGAGCGAGGAGAGGGCGAGGTCGAGCGGGGGCGAGGTTGGGCGCGGTGCGGCGCCCAAAGCCCCAATAAGAGTCGGACAATCAGCGGGATTATCACAACAGGCGGCCGCGAGCGGCAAGCCTCAGAGCAAAAGGGGGTGGGGGAGAGACTGGTGCTCTGTAAGCCAACAGGAAAAAAAATGGGGGAAAAAAGAGCAATGAACTGAATTCTCAAGGTTTCCACTGTTCGCCTACTTATTTCTATGAAGAATGAAAAATATTTTGTTTCTAAGCAGAATTAGAGGCATACTTATGATGAACATAAGACAGGTAAACGCCAAGCAAAACGTGCACAATGAAGGATACGTTATCCAACAGTAACATGAGAATTCCTATCTTGCTAGCGCGCCCCGGGCGGGGTAGGTGGGGGGATGAAGAATATGTTGCCCCCCGGGCTTACCTGTCACAGCCCGACGCCAGGGACGCCAGCGACGCCCACGGTCACCGACGGAAAAAGGAAGTCTGGAAAGACAAATCACAGGATCAGCGGGGCAACGCGAAGCAGAGCGGAGAAGCACGATCCAGTACATGGAAGGATCCAACCATAGATCCAACTCCTTAAGACAGGCACAAAAAAATATTTGAAGTAGAAAAAAAAAATGAGATAGAAGATGGAAAGTGGAGACTATATGTTGCAGACAGAAAAGTCAAACAGACAAAGGACAATCTATCACAGAAATTTTTTGTAGAACTTAACAAATCCAAGGCCACTAAACCATTAGAAATCATTACACCAATAGCTGAAATTAACACCCTAGGCTGAGTCCCAAAGAAATTAACAGGGGTGGCATTCCCCAGCAAGGCACGGCCACGATGTACTCAGGTGAGACTCAACGACTCAACATGTTAAATGCCATGCTATGTCATATTTAACTTGTTCGGTGTAGTGTGAACACAATGTAGTTTACAGAAATCAAAAACGTGCTGCACTGCAAAGATCGAAGTGTAATTGCTTAATATCAGTAAAGCTGGAAGCATAGCCTAATCATTGTGTCCTTGTCCAAAATGTACAGCATGGGCATGAGACACACATTTCCCAAAAAAATAGCTGCTTACTTATAATCAAATTATAATTAGATTTCTTTTACTAGTTTCACTGCATTTCAGTCGTTCCTCCAAATAAGTGTCTGATACAAAATAATATTAGAAGCTGTTTGACAGTAAAGACAAGCCAATACAGGGTGTCGTAGAAAAAATTGCAGTCAAGTAAAACTCCGCAGTTGAAAAATTTTCACAAATTTCAAATCTTTAAATATGAGAAAATTACTCAATTACCTTCAAAACTGTCAGGTT